GACAATGAGACATTATCCCATATTGGAAGAGGAAAAGATTTTTGGTGGGTATATATATAATTGTTTTTCTTGTAGCTCTTAAAGAGTTAAGAAGAAAGCAAGCCTCGCGCCGTCGTCGTCGCTCGCTCTGCTCGGCTCGGCTCGGCTTCGGCTTCGGCTTCGGCTTCGGCTTCGGATTTGGTTAAATGATTGATTGATTAATTTTTTGGACCAAATTTATTTGTTAATAGTAAAGTTAACGTAAGATTATCCGCATTTATAACGGATATAAGATTATCCGTATTTATAACGGATATGTTCCAATTCGTATATTGACCACCAGCTGCAATAGCAGCCGCCTAATGCTCTTCCCACCATGGCCAAGTGCTTGCTCCACAAACAAGCTAGTGCATGCTCCACCATGGAGGGTGGAGGGTCATTCATCTTCAAAGCTGACTGCTATAAATATGTGCAGCAGCTGTTGAAGAAAGACACACCGAACTGAAAACGCTCAACTTTGGCTATACATTGCACTCCTTCCTTTTAGCATTTCCATACGATTTTCTGAGTTTCTACTCCTTTGTTCTGCATTGTTTTAACTTCAAACAAAGCAACTGTAAGTGTGATTTGCTATCGAACTTTGTGTTCGCTGAAACACTGGGGTTTGAAGTACCGCTACACCAGTGTGTGATTCGTTCTATCCTGGGAGGAAATAATCCATAACCTTGGGTACTAGGAGGGGATTAAATTCCTTAAGGAAACACTGTGAATTCAGTGGGCTCGAATTAATTACTGTTTCATTAAGATAACTTATATTTTTCAGAATTATTATTTATAAATACAGCAATATTGGCGGGACTAACACTTTCTACTTTCAATAAAGAAGAAATTTAAAAGATGTTTTGATGCCTTTTTGATCAAAATATATCGTGAAGTAATTTGCCAAACGAAAAGTTGGTAACGAATTCATGACTGCTTACATTGCTTTCCTATTGTAGTTACAACATTTCTCCAATATCTATATTTTTTAAAATTATTAGCCTGCAAATGAATTAATTTTCCGAACTATTTCCTTAGATATAATTTCAAGTCCGTTATATATTTTCTAATATTGGGAGCTCAATTGGTAAGCAAGCTAATTATCCTTAATTTCCTTTATATTTCTAAAAAGAATATTTAGTAGAACATACATATTCAAGTTTCCCTAAATTGCAAGTCCTAAGACCTTTTGTAATTATAAATACACAAGAATTTTCACTCAAAAAGCTTAGAAAACATTTAGTTGTCACCACCAAGGATTGTGGTGAGATAGATAGAATTCTTTTACTATTAATGAGAGATTTAGAGTTCGAGTTCTGGGAATAAAATAAAATTATGGTAGAGAGTACTTTCCCCTTTAACAGCCTTACGCGATGTGAGTCTGGATTAATCAGTATCCCAATGTAGATACCAAATACTGGATGAAAAAAAAAATATTTTTGTTGGTCATCTAGGCCATTCGATATTCTCAGAATATCATAAGAATAGGAGATTCATAATCCTTCCTATTTCTCACAATCATTTTGTGATTTCTTGCCATTAATTGGGATCCTCTGGCAGATAAATCATGGTTTCTCTCATGCAAATTAGTACACATAATTGTATTTGTATCAGAATTAATAATTAAAGAAGTACCAGCATACTTATTATGCCAGCAACTTTCCGCTCACATTTGCCTTGCAAGTTGGCCATCGATGATTATCTCAATTAATTATCAAATAATAACTCTGACATTGATTTGGAATAAATACTAAAATCCTCCATTATTAACTAGCTATAGCAATAAACAAAATCAACTACCAAAACTTTGGCATTTGTCTCATAAAAGGAAAAGGAAGAAACCGAAAGCAAAAAACATATCACTGAAATCGGGCATACTTTTAAGCCAATTTTATGAGGGAAAAAGATTTTGGATACACATATCTCCTTGCCCATAAATCACTACTTAAAAAAAAATAGGAATTAGCAACGGACAAATTTTATAGTTAAACAGAAAAATTCGTCGTTAATCTTATTTAGCGACATATTAGTGGCAAATTATTGCTGAGATCCCTACATTAATGGCGGAATGAAACCCTACATTTAGAGAGAAGAAGAAGAAGGAAGCAGAAGATGTTTCAGAGAGTTGAAAAAATGAACTGTTTCATTCATCTGTAAACTAACTGAGAGCTAGCTTATATACATTATTTTACTAAGCTAATTAACTGACTAATAACCGACTATAAGTACAATTAAATAGACTAAATTACCCCTGTCTATTTCTATACACAGCTAAGTCACTTCTTGCATTTCAACACTCCCCCCAAGCTAGGTGGTATGAATATATCAAGTACACCTAGCTTGAACAGTAGATATTCATGTTGTGCTCTAAACCCTTTGTTAAGTCATCGGCAAGTTGATCTTAGTTGGAACATACTCTGTCTTGACTAACCCCTTTTGAAATGACAGTCAATTTCGATATGTTTAGTCCTTTCATGAAAGACTGGGTTTGCCGCTATTTGGATTGCTACTTTACTATCAGTGAAAATGCTTACAAGCAATTCTACCTTAACTCCAATGTCTTTGATCAAGCCAAGGATCCATATGAGTTCTGCTACAGTAAATGCAATACTTCTGTACTCTAACTCAGTAGAGCTTCTTGATATGGTGCTTTGTTTCTTTGATTTTCATGGCACTAGTGAGTCCCCAAACTTAATCATAAATCTGGTTACAGACTTCCTGGTGAATGGACAAGCTGCCTAGTCAGCATCACAATATGCTGTGACATGAAAGGACTAAAAGAAATGTCAGGTCTTGTGACTGTTAAATACAAAAGCTTTCCCAAAAGTCTCTGATATCTACTAGGATCAGTCAACATATATGCATCGGTTGTTTTGGCAGCCCCTACATGCTTATCATATTCACTTATAGTGAGCTTCAGATTTGGTTCAAGTGAGGTGTTTGCAGGCTTAGCAGCTCCCAAACCCATCTCAGAGATGAGTTCTAATGCATACTTCCTCTGGTGCATGAGAATGCCAAACTCAATGCCAAGAAAGTATTTTAGCTCTCCCAAGTCATTCATCATGAAGGTATATTGTAGTGCTTTCTTGGTATCTTCAATCAACTGCAGATTTGCACCAATAAGCATCATATCATCCGCATATACTAAGATATCAATAGTCTCATTCCTAGTTCCTTTGACAAATAGAGAATAATCATAGTGACTTTGGTTGAAACCAAACTGTAATAATGCCTTAGATAGCTTGCTTGATCCCATACAAGGATTTGAGGAGTCTGCAGACTGGCCTCAACTTCCCCTGACTCTTAAATCCTTGTGGCAGAGTCATGTAAATCTCATCATGTAGATCTACTTGTAGGAAAGCATTGTAGACATCCATTTGATGGATGTGCCAATGTGCAGCAGCAACAATGGAGAGAATAGTCCTGACAATCACCATTTTGACTACAGGAGAGAAAGTCTCTTGATAGTCAATACCTTCCTTTTGGCTATAGCCTTTGGCAACCAACCGAGCCTTGAATCTTTCAACCTCCCTTGAAGCTTTGTAATTCACCTTATAGATCCACTTGCAACCTATAGGTTTCTTACCCTCAGGCAAGCTTACCACATACCATGTGTGATTGTCTTCAAGAGCAATAATTTTAGCCTTCATTGCCTCTACTCATCTTGGATCTTTAACAGCTGCCTCATAGGAAGAAGGTTCAACTATAGTTAAAGTGGCTGCAATGTAAGCATGATACTTAGGAGACAGTGTGCCATAAGACAAGTAGTTTGAGATAGCATATGGAACATCTTTGTAAATGTTGAGAGAAATAAAGTTTTTCATCCAAATGGGAGTTTGTTTAGGTCTAGTGGACTTCCTTAAGGTAGGATTAATGTCTTGTGTAAGTAAATCTGCAGAGATTCTTTGAGAATAGGTGGTGGTGTCAACACACCTGGTGCTAATAGGACTTCCCACAATAGGTGACTGACATAACCAATGTGTGAGATCTTCATCCTCCACCTCTATGGTTGCAGGATCATTGAGGGTGTGAGCAATCCCAGGAGTTTCATAATGGTGTGAAAAAGAATGGGAATCAACAAATTGAGGTGGTGGAACAAACTTGCTGCTGGAAAATAGGAACACCTCCTCTCTGCATGCCACATCCCTTCTAACAACAAAAGAATGAGAAGTAAGATCATACAAGATATAGCCCTTTTGAGTAGGAGAATATCCCATATGGACTGTAGGATTAACTCTGGATAAAAGCTTGTCTGCCTTATGGATCTGCTTTGCATAACATAAGCAGCCAATTACTCTTAAGTGGCCAAGATCGGGCTTCTTAGCATACAACCTCTCATAGGGAGAAACTCCACCTATAACTGGGAAAGGCATTCTATTAATGAGGTACATAGCTGCAAAGACATAGTTCCCCCAAAACTTGATTGGTATATGTGCTTGGAACCTAATAGCCCTAGTCACCTCTAGAATATGTTTGTACTTTCTCTCAGCTATGCCATTTTGTTGAGGGGTGTAAGCACAAGTTCTCTGATGTGCAATTCCAAGAGTCCTGAACAGACCTGCACATATTGAATTAACAAACTCTATGCCACTGTGTTAGGATTGGGAACCTGGGTAGTGCGAAATTTAGCCAAACAACGGTATAATGACAATAACAAAGACTATGGAAGTTGATAACAATGACAAGTAAAGTAGATAAATAAGACACAAATTTAACGTGGTTCAGTCAAAGTGACCTACGTCCACAAGCGGAGAAGAGCAATTTACTATAACAATAAGAGTACAAAAGAGAGTACAAAATTAGAATAAACACTCTAATTAATCCCAAATACCCTAAAATAATAACCTCACAAGATCACTCTAACGAAAGGGTTCACACAAGTGCTTTCCAACACTAACTCTCATACAAAACACTCTTAATAAAGGAAGAAAGGAAGAAACAAGATGTGATGACCCAAAATGTCATCTTTAAATTTAATAAGTAATTCTGTCTTCTAGGACCTCAAAAAGCACCATTTATCATTCCTCGACTTGGTGCGCAGTCCGTAAACTTTTTCGGAAAGTTTTCATGTGAAAAATAGATTAAAATGGAAAATAGAGCTTTAAAACTCAACTCAGTTGACTTTGGTCAACATTTTGAGCAAACGGATCCGGATCAGTGTTTTGAAAATTCTGGTAGCTCCTGTATCGTGATTTGGGACTTGGTAGTACGCTCGGAATTTAATTTGGAGGTCCCTAGCTCAAGTTATGACCATTTAACGGAACTAGCAATTTAAAGGCTAAATATTCCAAGTTTGACCACGGGGTTGACTTTTTGATATCGGAGTCGGAATCCGATTCTGGAAATTTAAACAGCTATGTTATGTCATTTATAACTTGTGTACCAAATTTGAAGTCATTCCGGATTCATTTAATATGTTTTGGCACGAGATTTGCAAATTGAAAGTTTAAAACTCAAAGTTCGAATCGGGGTGCGAATTGTAATTTCAGTGTTGTTTGACGTGATTTTAGACCCCGAGTCAGTCCGTATTATGTTACGGGACTTGTTGGTATATTCGAGCGGGGTCCCGAGTACCCCGAGGGTGAAACGGATTGAAATCGGAACAAGAATTGGACTTAAGCAAAAATCTAAAATTTAGGTTTTGGTATAATCGCACGTACGGAATTTTGACCGTAGGTGCGAGCTCGCAGAAGCGATACTTCCATCGCAGATGCGGCCTTCACAGGTGCGGCCCTTTTGCGCAGAAGCGGACGTCGCAGGTGCGACATTTTGTCCGCAAATACGAAACCTCGCCTGGCAGCCCCTTTTTGCAGATGCAAGATTTTTCTCGCAGATGCGAGCTCGCATGTGCGAGCCCAGGCACCGCAGATGCGAAAATGCTGGGCAGAATACATAAAATCGGGTCTTAGCCATTTTTACTCATTTTTGAGTCTCGGATTTGGGCGATTTCAAGGGGGATTTTCATGACTTTGAACTGGGTAAGTGTTCTTTATCATATAGTGATTGTATTTCACAAATCCATGCCTATATTCATCATTTATTTCAGATTTAGATGGAAGAAATTGGAATTTTTGTAAAACTTTCCAAAAACGAAAAATTTAGATTTGAAGGTCCATTTGATATCAGAATTGGACAAATTTGGTATGGTTGAACTCGTATCGGAACGGGTGTTCGGATTTCGTGAGTTTTTCTGGGATTTGAGACGTGGGTCCCACTGCTAATATTTAATGAATTTCGGATTTTTATCCGGAAAAATTATAATTTCATATGGAATTAATTCCTATGATTAGTATTGAATATATTGAATTATTTGTGAATAGATTTGAAGCTTTCAGAGGTAAATTTAAAAGGAAAAGCTGTGGTTGAATAATTAATTGGAATTTGCAAAGAGAGGTAAATGTCGGGGTTAACCTTGACTTGAGAAAATATAACTCTTAAATTATTTGTTATGTGAATTGTATGTGAACGACGTATAGGCGAGGTGACGAGTGGCTATACGTCGTCAAATTAATTATTTGCCTGCTTACTTGAAAAATCATAAATTGTTTTTAATCATAAATTAAATATTATAATAATTATTTCTCTCTTATTCTTTGTCAAATGTTAAAGCTTGAATTCCTGCATTAATTGTTACATGTTATTTGAATTATGTGCCTTAATTGTTATTTGACATTTAGCATATTAAATATTAAAATATCTATTTGCTCCCTGATTTCCATAATAAATTGCTATTTGTCATTGTTTGCTTCATAATTAAATCATAATTATTGTATGCTTGTTGTCTTATGATTTTATGTTAATTGTTGCATTTATTGGGAAATTTCTTCTGTAAGAATTGATTGGCAAATGAATATGTTAGAGGAGCGGGTTGCACGCCGCAACAAGATTGATTATAATGAATATATTGGAGGATCGGCTTGCACGCTGCAACAGACTTATTAAAAGTCAATATTGGAGGATCAGGTTGCACGCCGCAACAGACTTATTAAAAGTCAATATTGGAGGATCGGGTTGCATGTCGCAATAGACTTATTAAAAGTCAATATTGGAGGATCGGGTTGCACGCCGCAACAGACTTATTAAAAGTTAATATTGGAGGATCGGGTTGCACGCC